ATCTTACATTGTCTATTATGTCTAAATTTACGTTATTTTCTCCTCAAGTACCAAGTTTTTAAACGCCTATTTGAATCTCAATAATTTGCATATATTGAATTGGAATACATGACTGCATTTGGATTAAGCCTCTTCCCTATCCTCTGAAACAAATGTATCAGCTCCACAAATTTAATTCATCTCCTCTTCTATTCCATTAAAAAAACAACAAAAACGTTTCTTCAAGTTTATCTTACCCTTAAACCAACGTTGTTTATTTTTTTGCCTCAATTTAAGTTCAGCCCTCATACCTGATATTATAGTTGTCCTAAACATAAAAAGAAAACCCTCATAAAACCACAACCTTGTTCCATTGTCCGTAATCATTGTATTACATAGGCCTATTATTACATTTTTTTTATTCCCGTATCTAGAATACATGTTTTATATTAGTGTCATCTACTAGTTTTGGGACCAATCTTTAAATAGAAAATACGCAAGCATTTTGGAATTCTTTGTGTCAAAAGTTAAGTTTCTACGTTTCAATTAATATTCAGCCATGAGATATCGGAAAACCTTTGATCTCATTTTGCCACACACTCAAACACCATTAATTTATTATATCGAGATGAGTACATTATTTCGTCTCCTTTAGGGCAAAGTTAGTAAAATTAAAACGTACGGTAGATTTTTTTTTGTGGAAAATGTAGACAATTAAGTTACATATTTAATAATATCATTGCTTATAATAATGGCATTTTTCGATTTAGTCTAGCAGCTGATCAATATGAATTTTAAATTCTTGATGAGATTTATTAATTAACAAATCTCCCATTACATAAGTTATTCACTTTATATTTAAACAGTTTTAACAAATTACCACTTTAATACGAAATAACTATTAAATAGAAAAAGGGAAAAAATGACGTCTTGCCTGTTGAAGTAGGTAGTGATGCCGTATATATTCTGATCATATTAATTAGCGATGTGGCGAACTTTCTTCAAGTGTCGAGTTATACCATGAATAATCCAACAGCATGAGGTTTATTCGACTGAAAGTAATTTTCTCACACTAGTTGTCAAGTGCACAGTTTGAATGTTTATTAAATACGTTGATAATACAAGCAGTTATTCTCAAGAGTTATACTTACACCAACATGTTCTATAATGTTAACAATTAGGTCTTATAATTTTATGCTACATAAATATATACAATCATCGTATCTGCTACTTCCCTTTCTTTTGGGTCTATAGTTTGTTTTGGTCTTCAAATTTTGAATAAGCCTCACAAAAATAAATGTAATTAAAGATAATGGGTACTAGTACTTTACACTGGAGATCACACTTCCATAATTTTCTTTTACAATAGATTAATGAACGTTAAAGTTAGGTAATGGGGATTCCTTCTATGTGACACTTTGTAAAATAACTTATAATCGCACTTGAATGTGATTCTAGTACTTTTTAAATGTTCACACAAAACATAACCAACTAATGAAATTGATAATCTAAACCATTAATCTTTCCGCCTCTAAAATCAGATGACGCACATACCAATTAATAATCTTTTTTACACAGGTAGTTACAAGTAGATTTAAAATACCCACGCCATACAGACTACAACATATACGTCATCAGCGTGTAACTATGTGCACCCTTCACGGGATCCACTGATTGGATTTCATTTCTCGAATTTCGCAATTTGTTGTGCAACAAGAAACCTAAACTACCTTGTAAATGTACTGTAATAAATGGCCCCGAGTTATCTACCCGGTTATTTAAGGTAACAATGTTATTATTCACTCCCTGTCACACGGCGCTGAAGCGAATCTACCGCACCAGTAGAAACCTGACGGATCATTACATCAATACTAGTTATTCAGAAACACATTGATAACACTAAAATATATCAATAATTAGTGAGTGAAATTCTTAAAAGTGTTAGTTGCTATAATTACAGTTCCAATCGATACCGGTAACTAAATACTATGATATCAATTTAAACCCGTGCAGTTTTTGTTTTTGATAAATAATTATTGTGAAAATATATAACTTTCTATAGTTGAGTTTTACAGCTTGCTTTCTAAAATATTGTGTTAAGCAAAACTAAGAAGGTGAGTGGTGATTTTGTTCCATGGAGTTGATAATTACAACATAATTTAAATGTCTTGTGTTTCAACTCATTTTCGCTCTGATCCAACATCCGTTAATCCAAGTTTCAAAACCTGAAAGAAATAAAAGGTTTTTAAATAGGGCTTCTAATTTTCAATATTGTTATGATAGGAAAAATAATACAGAATATTGAAGAAGTAGTATTAGTAGTAGTAGTGGTAGTAGCAGTAATTCGTCAGCTTAAATCAATACAATCTGGTGTCTTTGAATTTGTGTTCAATAACACCAATATTTTCTTCTCACATAATACTCGAACTATAATGTTGGCCTATTTATTAAAAGTGGTCAACTCATATTATAATTTTGAAAACAATATTAAATAAACATAAGTAGTCCTAATATCATTAAAGTTTTACAAGGTATTTCTTAATTGATAAATTATTAAATAAGTGAATTCGATGAAATATAAATACAATTCATATGACGATAAGCGTTCTTAGATAATCAATGCTGACGGAACTTGTACAGTTATTAACTATGATGACTTTTTAACAAGACATTTGTTTTTTTTCTCTCTGTGGAGATCCTTCAGTCATTATTGACATAAACATCAATTACATGGTACAATCATTTCCACACTCTTTACATTAGTGTGCTCATGAACGATGAATTGTGTTCGTTGTATTCGGAGAATGAGTCTATGGTATTCATGGTAAGGATAACTCGAAAAATGCACAAGTAGAACACATACCTAAATTCAATAAGAAGAGGAATTCAAGTGATTTCAAATACAAAGTTCTTGCAATGAAATAAAAATGAATAATTGTATTCATGATGCACTAAAGAAACCATTTTCAAAGCACTCATAACATTTATAATTATCTAACAAGACATGCTTCTTCCTACCATTTACCGCTCTTTAGATTTACCCAACGCATTACTGGAAAAATATGAGCTTTAAGAGAAAATATTTGTCTGTGTATAAAACGGATTATTTATAATTTCTTTTAGAGTATACGGTTTTGTCTGTCATTGACAATTGTATGTAATTCCTATATATTGCAGAACGGGCTTCTAATCATCACACATGATAGGCTTCTTTCTACAATTGATCACTATTAGAACTTCTTTCACACAAAACACAATCTTATTTTTAAATGTCTAAAGCCTCTCAGGAAAATTATTCTTTAAGTAGCTTCAGAAGAATTTTTCAGAATATGAAAATGATAACTTTTATTTTTTTACCCTTTTTTTTGTATCATTTCATACTCTAGGTATTATATAATTGCATGATATTGCAAGTAAAAGCTTCTATTAATGAGAAACTTCAATACTAATTTTGAACTTGCACGTAACATTAACAAGAAGTATCGTACCATATTAGCCTAATTGAATTTCTACACTTACTATGATACATGCAATAATAAATACTTGTCACATCTAATGAACAATCTATATTCGGTAATTAAATTAGGCTGACTTCGTTTCTTCAAGCGCAATCTGTAAATCATTTAAATTATGTGGGTTTTTTTTAAATTAAAGTAAATCAAAATATAGAAAAGTATTCCACAGATGAGTAAAAAAAAAACCCAGCTTATCCATGTGCTACGATACTACACACTTTGTTATTTGCATCGTTTCTACAATATTTTACTAATATTTCAGTAATACTGCTCTACTACTATAGAGTAACTTACATTAAATTGCTGTTAAATGTGTTTTTTAAATAAAATAAGATGAAATAATTAAACAATTTATAATTTATTCATTTTAACAGTATAATTATAATAGGTCGAATGTAAATTCGCAACTGAATTGTGGTTTTATCGGAAGTTGATAAATTAATTGATCCCTTTGAAAATGAGCGGTTCAATGCGATTCAATTATAATACAGTAGGTCGATTTATAAACTTAAACCTATAGACTTTAGCTTTCCTTTTCCGTTACTTTATGAAGTAGTAGAATCATAAAATTGTTTAATACCAACATGGTAGAAACGAAGTCAATATTTACGATATACTCTGACAACAGAGAGTATCAAACTGCCGATAATGTATAAGACAATCGATTTGGGCGAAGATGACTACTGAATGCAATTCCCTATTGTTAAGGATGAAAGCTTAGCGCAGAGCTAAGCAACCACATAATATCAAATTGATAAAAGATTGAATTAAATCCTCTAGTAATGGCGACGGTGATATCAGATGAGAAGTTCAGTACAATGTCAATTAACAATTATAATAACTAATAGTTAAATCTAGTCCTAATTACCATCACCTATATCCCTAAAGCGTTACCTATTGTCGTATTACATATACCTGTAGTTGATTGTAGAAGTTTGATTGCTAATCATACCCGGGCTCCTTATATGCAATATTCACTCCACTACGACCAGTATTGTGGTTAATCAAACTTGAGAAAGTGGGATGATAGTACTTAAAACAGGATGGGGCTTATGTATATTTTCCACATGGCAGCCTCCTTTCATATTTTCTGTAATTTAATATATTGTTTGCTAATGTAGCTCTTTAGTTTTGATAAAATTTTATATAATATCTTGTACCTCATACTTATGAATATATAAGTTGTAACTATTATATATAGTATTACATAAGATACTACATAATAGGGTACCAAGTCTATAAATATAATGTCTTGAACCGAATTTACATATATATATATATATATATATATATATACC